AGAGAGAGAGAGAGAGAGAGAGAGAGAGAGAGAGAGAGAGAGAGAGAGAGAACGAACACAGACGAATGAGTAGCTGGAGAGATGGTTCAGTAGTTAAGATCACTGACTGCTCTTCCAGAAGACCCAAGTTCAATTCCCAGAACCCACATAGCACCACATAACTATCTGTAACTTCAGTTCTGAGGCATCCAACACCCATTTGTGGGCTCTGAGGGCACCAGGCACACAGTGGTACACAGACATACAAGCAAACAAAACACTCATACACATAAAGATTTTTTAAATAGATGAAAGACTACAAATCTGTCTATAAGAAAATACTTGCATTGAGTTACTCAGGAGCCTCAAATGAGCCTTTTTCTATCTGCATGTTTCCTAATAGCATAGTAAATAAGCTTTGGGAGAGAAACATCTCTTGGGTGACGTTCAATCCCAAAAAGAGCCACTTTTGATATTGTATGAACCGAGTGGACATTACACAAGGAAAACAAGGATTCAAAAAATAAAGGTTTAAAAAAAAATAAGTAGCCAATGGTAAGTAGTTTGGATGAGAATGGAGAGTCTTATAAACAGAACTACACATTCAATTCCCTTTATTTCTCCTGTGGAACAAACAGCTTCTTTGAAAAGCAAACAAACAGTGTCTCTGAATCAAAGGGAATTATTATTTATTTCATGTATTGTCTGGCCATCAAACTTGATTTCTGTTTTAAAGCTGCACTAGAATTCTCTTAGGCTCACAGATGTAAAAGGCTGAGTCCACCTGCCTTCTAGATCTAGTCTGCCACTTATTCAGTCATACAAGAAGAAGAGAGAAAATTACCCTTCTTGGATCCAACCCTGGAAGAGGCACTGAAGAACTTCTTCACCGTGGTGACCTTGCGGGTCTTCTCATTGGTTTTCTTTTCCTCGAACTTGGAGAATGTGAGGGACTGAGCTCCCTGGCTGCTCTGGCTGCTAGCGAAGGCCTCTTCCTCCTCCCGCTGAAGTCTGAAATTCAGGGAGAGAATTGTAACGATCTGGATCCTCTCCAAGCTTTCCGGGGGTCTAAAAGATCTTGTTTAAATGACTGAAGAGGATCTGAAAACTTCATAAACAGGAGCTAAATATACCAAATGGGTCTCAGGGCTCTAGTACATAACTATAAGATGAAATTCTATACCTGTTGAAGAGTTCAATGTATGGGTTTAATCCCCAGGACCTCAACAAAACAAAACAAACAAAAACCAAACAAACAGGCTTTACACTTATAATCTCAGCATTTGGGAGGCCAAGGCAAGATTGCTGAGTTTGAGGTCAGTCTGGGTTATAGACTAAGACCCTGTCTCAAATTACCATATTAAGAAATGGTGCTGGGTGATGGAGGCATACGCCTTTAATCCCAGCACTCAGGAGGCAGAGGCAGGCAATCTCTGTGAGTTCCAGGCCAGTTTGGTCTACAGAGTGAGTTTCAGGGCAGCCAGGGCTATACAGAGAAACCCTGTCTCAAAAACACCAAAGAAAAAAACAGGGCTAAGGAGGGTTGGTGAGATGGTTCAGTGTGTAAAGACACTGGTCACCAGGTTGACCTCTTGAGTTTGACCCCTGAGCTCCAATGGTGGAAGGAAAGAACCGCTGTAAGTTGTCCTCCGTCCTCCAAACAAGCACTGTGGCATCTGCACACTCACACACACACACACAATAAATCAATGGAGGAGCTGGACAGATGGCTCGGTGTGCAAAAGCAATGCTGCTTGTGTAGAGGATCTGGATTTGGTTCCCAGCACCCACGTGGCAACTCACAACCTTCTATAACTCCAGCTCTAGAGAGTCTGACTTCTGGTCTCTTAAGGCACTGAACACATGTGGTGCACTTACATACATGCAGGCACCCACACACATAAAAAATAGTCTAAAAAATATAGAAAGAGGGCTGGAGAGATGGCTCAGAGGTTAAGAGCACTGACTGCTCCTCCAGAGGTCCTGAGTTCTATTCCCAGCACCCACATGGTGGCTCACAACCATCTGTAATGAGATCTGGCGCCCTCTTCTGTATACATAATAAATAAATAAATCTTTAAAAAAAAAAATATAGAAAGAAATGTAATTTTAAAAATGTAAGGCTTAGGATGTAGCTCAGCTAATAGACTGCTTGCCTACCACTCACAAAGCCCTGAGTTCAGTCCCAGCACTGCATACACCTGTATTCCCAGTACTTGGGAGGTAAAGGCAGGAATATCAAAAGTCTGGGGTAATCCTCGATGACATAGTAAATTTGAGGTCAGCTTGAGATATAGGATGACTAGGAGTCTAATACACGAAAGTATAGTTTCCAACAGGAACTTAGACATAAAGTGTGGCTTCTAGCCAGGCTTGGTGGCTCACACCTGTGCCTCCAGCACTTGGAAGGCAGAGACAGGAGGATCACTGATAATGAGATGGACTACATGCTGAATACACTGAAGTCCCCAAATGATGAGGAACTGACTGCAAACCAACTATCATTCTGGAACTCACTGTGTGGCAGAGAACCCAGAAAGATTACAAACCCACGAAGTTACCCTGTTTATATCTATACTTCAGTACTTACCTCCAGGAGCTATATAAAAACCTAAGAGGCTAGAGATGGCCCAGCAGTTAAGATCACAGGCCCTGGAAGTAGATCACAAGCCATAATTCTCTGAGTTCACCAAGGATGTGAACATGAACAGCATAGTTACTCAACAAGTACCAAGTGACTAGACACGGAAGAGCAGCAAGCGCTAGCATCTGGTTTGACCCACTGAGACAGCATCACAGTCAGCAGGATGTCATGCCAAAGGATCAGCTTTACTCCTGGCATTTTCCAAGCCCCGGAACTTCTACCTTTTAATTTTTGTCATACTCATATTCAGAAATGACAACTACTTTGGAGTGATCCCATTTTAAAAGAAAATTTGAATATCCCCAATTCAAGGACCATGTACATAAACTAGGGTTGATTACTGAGTGTTTTATATGGTACTACGTGCCTGCCATGCTGGGTATGTCAAAAGAATGAGAAGAGCAATACTTGAGCGTCACTTGTCAAACCCTGTGTGCAGCATGTCACATGTGTGACCTCAGTTCATCTTTACCCCAAAGTATGCTTGCCTTCAAAAGAGGTAAGAACAGCACACTCAAATGTAAAATCAACAAACACAAAATGAAGAAATCACTAAAAGTGATTTAATGAGTATTGACCAGAAAGAAGAAAGAATCCTCTCTTGATGACAAATTGACCTGCTTATAGATAGTTCTTAATAAGAGAGAGTACGGCTGGGCAATGGCAGGACTTTGTGCCTGGTTACGTCACTGGTAGCCACTCCCCACCCCTACCTAGACAGTGAGGTCCTTTTACCTTTCTGCCAGTTCCCAGTCCTCTTGGATCTGCTTCTGCCGGGCCTTGTGGTACTCCTCCCTCCAGCACTTGGAGCAGAAACCCTGCCAGGCAGGGTTGCCGTAGTAACCGCATCCTTTCTTGCACAGGAGCTCAGATTGATCCACATGAATTCCCCGGCGTTCGGACTTCAGGCTCATCTTCTTCCTGATAACCAAGGAGTGAGAAAGCATTGAAAACTAATTTACTACCATACTACTAAAATACAACACTCATGAAGAAAAATTCAAGTGAGTCCAAGATCTTCAAGCCGTAAGGGGAAAAAGGAAGAGAGGGAGGAAAGACAGAACAAAACCCAAAGTTAAACCTGGCAAGTTCAAGCAGAGTCACACTAAAGAAAGACTTCAATCTGATGGCCCAAAATACACAGTGCACCTTAACAGACTAATACTGGATTAGAGACCTAAGCATAAAGCTTTAAACTCCTAGAAGAAAAGCCTCCTGACACTGGCAAGGACTTCTTCACTACACCAAAGCAACAAAAACAGACAAATGGGACAAGAGCAAACTTGAAAACCTCTGCACAGCAAAGCAATTAGCAGAGTAAAGGGGCAGCCTATGAACTGAGAGAGGACATTTCCAACATCTACAGAAAAGGCAAAACCCAAACCATAAAAAGCACACCGACAATCCAACAAGACAAAGAACTAGAGTAGACAACTCCAAAGAAGAAAGACAGCAGATAGCAAGACCCTGTCTCAAACACACACACACACACACACACACACACACACACACACACACACACACACACACACACACACACACGGCTCAGCAGCTAAAGATTCTGCCCAGCAGAAGCAGATCCAAGAGGACTGGGAACTGGCAGAAAGGTAAAAGGACCTCACTGGCTAGGTGGGGGTGGGGGTGGCTACCAGTGACATAACCAGTTGATGACCTGAGTTTGAGCCCTCCCACTTACATGGGAGATGGAGAGACAACCCCTAAAAGCTGTCCACTGGCCTCCTCACACGTGCTGTGGCACATGCTTACACACAAACAAAATGAATAAAATATACTCTGTATAACGGCCAACAAGCTGAGATGGTAGTGCACGCCTTTAATCCTAGCACTCGGAAAACAGAGGCAAGTGGATCTCTGTGAGTTCTGGGCCAGCCAGGAATACACAGTAAGACCCTGCCTCTCACAAACAAACAAACAAACAAACAAAAATGACTAACGAAAACTGGGCATGTTGGCATATGCCTATAATTCCAGAAATCCGAGGCAGGAGGACTGCAGGTTCTGGGCCTACCTAGCTTACAGAAATTTTATCTCAAAATAAATATTTAATAGCAAATGCATGAGAGAAACTATTGGAATAAATCAAAACCACAATGAGACATCACTTCACATTGGTAGGAAATTCACCTTAAAAACACACACACACACACACACACACACACACACACACACACACACACACTCACAAATTGAAGGTGTTGTTGATAGGAATGTGAAGAAATCAGAACCCTTTTGTACTGTTGAGTAGGAATGTAAAGAGGTGCAGCCACCACAGACACAACCTGTCCATTATATAGAACCTGTTTTTCCATCCAAAAGACTGGGAATTGGAGGTAATTAATAGCCTGGTGATCTGTGTTATCTGTAGGGCCAGGCCATATCAAGCTCCCACAGCCAGGACCAGAGGTGGCTAATAGTCGAAATGAGCCTTACATTATCTGTATAGCCAGGAGCTCCCCCAAGCTCCCACAATCAGGACTGGAGATGGCTAGTAGCCAAAATGACCTGTTCACTATCTATATGAACAAGACCAGATCCTTCCCTAGGCCCTTAAGCTAGTACAGGTAGCCTATCTCTAGAAGCCATCTTCTAGGAAGTAGTGACATGCACTTTGAATTGAATTTCGATATAATTATACCTCCTTGTATACCAGGGATTATATGACATCAGGAACTTTTCCCCAAATTGTACTGTGTTTAAATATGCTGCCAATAAACCACTTGGTATCAGACTCCCAAAGATCTAGCACGGCTGGCTAATTTGGGCTGAACTGAGTTTTCATTTTCATATTTTTGAGGTGTGTTTCTCTACCTGCCATGACACTTGCAGGGACCCCAAAAGACCCTATCTCAAAACAAACAAACAAACAAACAAAAAAAAAAAAAACCCAACAATTAAAAACAAAGCCAGGTGTAGTCCCACAGGCCTTTAATCCCAGGCAGGCGAATCTCTGTGAGTTTGAGGCCAGCCTGGTCTACATAGAGTTCCAGGACAGCCACGGCTACAGAGAGACCTGTCTCAACATTAAAAACAAAAAACAGTAAAACATTTTAGTTCATGGGCTGGCAGGATGACTCGGTGGGTAAGTGACTCACATGGTGGAAGAAGACACAACTCTTTAAAGTTGTCCTCTGACTTCCATACACAGTGGCATGTGCACAAACCCAACCCTACACATGCACAAATAACTAAAAATTTTAAAATGTTAAAAAAATTACATAAAGAGAGGGCTGAGGATCTACCTCAGTGGTAGGGTATTTGCCTAGCATGTGGGAGGCCCTGTGTTCAATCCACAGTACTAAAAGAAAAATAGAAGTATATAAACTGTACTAAAAACAAGTAACAGAGAAGAGGTTCACACGCAGGGAAGATTACAATTTTTTTTTCTACTACACTATCTGCAACTGCTTGTCCAAACTCACACACATGCACAAAAATTTCAGTGGGATCACTGTTTCCCATACAAATAATGCTCATGCCTCAGCTGACAACTTTCTTTTTTAGTTGTTTGAGCAGAGTAAAGGTAAATTTATTAAGAATAAGTGAAGGAAAATGCTGAGTGGGAAGGACTTCAAGGGAGGAATACCCTAGAATCATTAGCTACACTTTTGCTTTTTCAAAGAAAGATATATCTATTCTAAGGATCCTTTGTTTCAGACATTGTTGCTACAGCTCCTTTTTCATGGTGAATAAGCTTTTCTTTAAGATCTGACAGAGCTGAGGGCTTCCAAATGACAGAAAGGTACTTGCGTGTGGCTGGAGAGATGATGGCTCAGCAGTTAAGAGCACTGGCTGCTCTTCCAGAGGACCTGGGTTCCACTCTCAGCACCCATAAGGCAACTCTCCCTGGGTGCCAGTTACACACATGGTGCACACACATACATTCAAGCAAAACACCCATACACATAAGAACTTCTTAAAGATATTTGTCTAAAAAAGAAAAAAAAATTGGCTAACACCAGAGCCACCCCCAGCTCATCAAGCTCCACCCTAAGGAGAAGCCATGTAAGCAGGAGACCATGGCGGGACCAGCACATAGCTAGCTGGCTGCCAGCAGACCCATTAAAGCACCTGCTCACAAGAGTACACCCTCTCTGGAGGGGTGAGGAAGCCTCATCGTGCAGCCCTGCTACTGTGGCTCTATGAGACAAGTCCACTGATCCGATTCTCAAACTTTCCTCACAAATTCAGAACTGTGCTTCCAGAAGGCAGCTTGTTGGTGACCTGATTGGCACATTTTTAAAGAATACAATCTATGTGCTAACCTCCCTAAACATGTGACCATTATGCCAAAAGATATCCAGATAGCACACTGGGCACATGGAGAATGTGCGTATGAGTCCTCGATGGGGTGGGCATGATGGTTTGGCAGAAGCCTGATGACATAAGTTCGATATTAGGAAACCAAATAAAGGTGGAAGGAATTAATCAGTTCCACCAGTTGTTTTCTGAACTCCACAAGCATGGTGGGGTCTCTTTATTCACACATACATGCACATACTAATAATAACAATAACACTTCAAGCCACTGATAGGGAATGTGTCATTCCATCACTGTAACAAAAGAGATGACATAAACAACTTATAAGAAGGAATGGTAGGCTGAACTGCCGGGTGTGGTGGCGCACGCCTTTAATCCCAGCACTTGGGAGGCAGAGCCAGGCGGATCTCTGTGAGTTCGAGGCCAGCCTGGGCTACCAAGTGAG